AAAAATTTTCTAAAGCGCTGTAGCAATCAAATAAAATTTTATTCCACATACGTTGCCGTGTTTTCGCGCTCATATCTTGCATGATAAAATGCTTACCTTAGACTGTTAGGAGCCATTTTAGAACAAAAATTTCAGAAATTTCGAGAATTCGAATGTATTTTGGAAAAAACTTTTACAGTGTTGTAGCAGAGAAGATTATTTGGCTATACCAAACCTTTCAAAGCTTAAGAAAAAAACGAGTAGCCGATAGCATGTGCTACTAACAAGGCTTGCGAGAAAACTCAAATGCATGCCTCGCACGCGAGATGTCGTATCAGACCTTTAGAGGGCTTAAGAAATTCAATCAGAATAGTTTTGTGTTTCACACAAGCGTATTTTTCATAGGACAGATGTCTTTCCTTGAAATATTAGTGACCATCCGATAGCGTAAGTTGCGTTGATTCCAGCGGTATGCCTGCTTTTTAAAAAATATTTAGACACTGTGGACGATATTAGGTTGAGGAAAAAGTTCCTCAAAACTCGTTAAGAATTGAAAGGGATACTTTTTAGCTCTAAAGGAACAAATGAATATCCGACCTCATTTGTGCGCAGGGAATTTTCAAAAGAATGATTTCTGGTTATAGTCTTACACTTTTCAATACGGCCTTTATAACATTATAGCACTCAGAATGAAAATTATGTTTCATATCCGCCGTTTTCCTACTTTTTCGCCAAGTGTATGATTCACGGAGGTACGAAAGGTATATCAACGTGTAGAAGAACTCTCGTGGTATTTGATTTGATCGTTTTATCCGGATTTTTTTTTTCAGAGGGGATAAAAAATCTCAGTCGTACATCCACATCTCTAGCACTTTCTGCCATCGATCAATCGGCCTCTTTCACCAATTCTCTATTGCTCCCTCCCAGATGAATTTGTCGGTAAACAAGCTCGCCGAAAATACAGAACTCGATCTTGCTTTTCCTTTTAAACAATATTACCAGAAAATATAAATAGAGCTGGAATAACTGATAGTTATGCTATCGAATAATTTCTAGAAGCCTGAAGAAAGAGCTTTGCCCGGCGAGGTGTAACGTTCGAATATATTTTTTCTTCTGCAGTGATACCATAAGAGCTTTTTCAAAAAACAGACACATTGCTGAGTTCTTCGAGACTTGTGCTATCGAGTGAGTACTAGTACTCTAAGCAAGGAACCTTATCCAACGGAATATAAGCGAGTTATGAAAAAAAACACGTGATTGTGTGGGACATATTTTTATTTTAAATGTTACAGAGTGATAAATGGGTTCTTTGAGAAATCGTCCACCTAAGGCTCCAGCCATAATTCAAAGCTATGAAATGGTCACTAAAAGTACTACGAAAAGTTCATGTTCAGCGAGGCCAAAATTAATTTGCCCCCTTTACAACTTAAAATACCTTTAGGGATAACACAAATATACAATTACACAACAGTATCTCCCGACGATCTCCTGCAAGCGATCTGCAGGTTTTCGGATCTGCTCGACACCGCCATTCCTTAGTCTTTTAATCAAGGGAAATTCCACGTGCCTCTTTAACTTGCTCAAATATCTCGAATCGGCGTTTACACAGGAAATTTTCCACTGCGCGGAGAAGACCACAATGGATCGGCGCAGCATCCGGACTGTATGTTGAATGTGGAAAAACCTTGTCTCCCTCTAGTTCACCAAACTTTTCCTTAGTCTTCCAGGCGGTGTGAGGTCACATACTTTTTCTTCGAAGCATCGTAGACTGGGTCCAGCTGCTTGATTTAGAATTGTGCATTGATGGCGCGACCATTTGGAACAAGTTTTTAGTACAAAACACCTTCAAAAATCCGCCATTGGCAAAGCTATACTTGAAACTTATTTCGTGTCTATCGTCATTATTTGATAACCGAAGAACAAATCAGAATTTGATGCCCCAACTAGCGCTGCAGTGAAAGTTTCTTATGGAAATATTCCTGCGGTATTCCCATGGATTTACAATACCCTATAATGGATAAAGGGAACATTTGATCTGAATCTTCCGTAGGTGTTAAGGAACATCTTCCTACACCTGGTAAATTGAAATAGATTTACCGTACAGCGCCATCGATCTACCTCGTAGCGCGATTTGCGACTTTTGTTATTGAATCCAGATTTTACCCTGTTCTAATGGAAACTTTAGATATTCATATGACTTTGGCACTGCCTTCCCCTTTCCGATCCCGACGATTTCCTCTTAATGTTCATGTGGTTTTAAAGCATAGACATAGTCTGCTTAGGGTTAGATTATTGTCTGTCTTACTATTTGCTGTCGTATTATTATGAAATTTATTTGGCAAAAGAAAACGAAAATGAAAAGTCCAAGCTCAAAAAAGTTAGAGCAACATTTTTTCTTAATATCAATACAAAAAAGCCCAGAAAGCTTTACGATGCGGAATTCGGATAGGTGACAGAAATTTCACCATTAGCACGAAACACGTGTGAAACACAGTCTTATTTTTTGTTCAAGAGCGCTGCAAAAAAGGTTTTCGAAAACCAAAAGCGTTTTCGAAAGTTACGAGATTCACTTTATCAAACAATTCGAGGTAAGCGCTCTGTTTCGTGAATAATAAACGAAGACGGAGGAACACTTGCAGTGCTTTGAAACACAATTTTATTTCAACTGCTAGAGAGGTGTAGGGCTCTGTTCTGTGAACAATAAGCGAAAACGGAAGAACACGTGCAACGCTTTGAAACACAATTTTATTTCAACTGCTAGAGAGGTGTAGGGGAGCCTTGCTGAAAAATTGGCATATTTTCCAAAAATTAACGTTAGTTAGTAATGAATCCTAGTTCAGAAAGGAAGATTTGTACAGCAAAATGTAAGCTTGATAAAAAGCGAAAACGTGAAACATAGCTTTATTTTGTATGCCGCAGCGCTTCGAAAGGTTTTTTGATCAAGTCTAATTTTGGACTCTCCGAGATTTGAGCCTTTGAATAATCACTAATAGTTCAATAGAAATTTTTTGTTCAGCGAGACATCCTTCTTCAAAAATCCAGACCCGATAACGAAAAGAAATAATTTATAAAGGTGGTTGAAAACTAGTTGACTCTCGACGTGTTCAGTGGCATCACAATCCTGATATTATCTGCTTTTCTAAAGAATTTTACCATTTAAATGATTGCTGGATGTAGGACACTAACTCATAATTTTTTATGAGTATAAAATTTCGCACATTGGTGGTTGGACTTGTGCCTGATTGATAGTGGATGCTTCCAATCCTGTCACTCTTGCCAATAACCTCGTCGTTCTGCAATCTGCAATGTTGACGTTCGATTTTCTTTTCAGACGATGCTCGAAAAAGGAAACATCTACAAGATTCTTTCTCGTAATCATACCATCTAACTGACAAGAAAGTACCATAAACTTTCTATCCTTATAAATAAAGTACAGCATAGCAGTTTTCGACAGAAAACAAGAGCGCATGTGGAGCAGTGGTTAGAGGTGCCCTGCGTCGCACACGAGGTCACTGGCTCGATCTCGTGCTCATGGCTCACCAAGCCATCCATCCCTCCGGGGTCGGTAAAGTGGTACCAGGCAGGTCTCAGACTTGTCTGGGAGGATAAGCAGCACTGACTCGGTTCAGCGGGAGGCCTCCGCGAGTCATTGTAAAGGCCAGATGTGCATTCAATCACCTCAAACGAAGTTAAAAATTGAAGTCGAATGCATGGCGCATCCCTCAGGGATTGATCAACGGCGAGAGCTTTATCCTTTTTTTATAGCAGTTTTACTACCCCTCCGAACCGGCTCTCGCATTTCAGCGTTTTGAGTTTCGGTGAGGTTTAATCGAAAAATTTTTTGTACATTAGTGATCAAGGATATCAAAAGTTTCGCCCGGAAATATCAGTAAATTTTTATCACCTTCATTGTAGGAATCTTTTCGTCTGAAAAAAATTGAGAAAGTAGCGGTAGTCATAGTAACAGTGCCAAAAGTGGCAGATTTCAAACAATCTCTCATCTCTGAAGTAAAAGTTCAACTATCAAAAAGCTAACCAAGCTTGTTAGCAGCTATCTAGGAATTATATCCACTAAGACAAGTTCAGTTATTTAGTCTGAGTTAGATCACCTTTGTGTTGTTCAGATACTGTTAATTTCAGGTCGTTTAATAAGTTTTACCAGTAAAGCAATAAAAACCGAATTCACTAACAAGAAGTGGTTGAAACTGCATGATTTTGGTACTGTTCAATTGAGCATTTTCTTCTGAACGTAGTGGTTTGCATCTTACCTATACTTGATGCCAGATGGAGCTGCCGTGGAATCAAATTTGCTTGTTTCTCAGGCATGAATGGCGCGTAGGAAAAAGTGTTATTGAAGCGGTGCACAAGAATAATGGACCTTGGGGCGATGACACTGTTGCAGAAAGGGCGGCTAGAAAGTGGTTCGCGAAGTTCAGATCTGGAAGAGACAGTTTTGAGGATCAGCCGTGCTCGGACAGTCCACAGGAAGCTCCACTAATCTTGGACGCCGCTTCACTAGCATTCGCCTGAGCGCCATTCGAGCATGAATAGGAAGCAAATTGTTCCCACAACAGCACCATCTTAAAGCAAGCATAGACGATTTGCAATCCAAAATGTTCACAAAAAGTGTGAAATCGATCGATATAAAATTCATGCAATTCTGAATACTTCTGGTCAGTAAATTTGGTGCTTCATACATAATTAAGAGAACTGAGTGGTGAGCAAAAATGTGACCTTAGACGGGAGTTGAAACCGAGTTTCATCCAAACAGGAGACGCGTGCTACTACTACACCACAGATGTACGTTGGAGCCACCATTCATTCTTCAACATCTCTATGATAGCTGTCAGCCACCAGCCTTCATCAAGTTTGATCGGATACGCGATGTTGCTTTGTGAACCCAGTTGAGCTGACAGCCATGGTGACAAGTGAGACTCGCGATTTCTGGTGTTTTTACTGCCTTTTTGGCAGTGCAATGTTGTTTCATATGTACCTGCGAAAACTGAGAAGTAAGCAGAAAAACTCCCAGACGGGAGTCGAACCCGTGTTTCATCCATACCGGGGATGCTTGCTACTACTACACCACCGAGGTACAATCGCACCACCACTCGTCCTTGCTAGTCTTACTCATCACATTGGCTGTCAGCTCAATGCGAAATCGCAAACCCGACCAAACCTGTTGAAAGGCGGTGGCTGACAGCTATCATAGAGATATTGAGTAACGAGTGGTGGTGCGATCATACCTTGATGGCGTAATGGTAGCACGCTTTCCAGGTAAGGATGAAACGCAAGTTCGACTCCCTTTCGAAGTCGTATTTTTGCTCGCCACTTAATTCTCTTGTGTATGCGAACACAGAAAATCGAAAACGAATACGTGACACATTCCTCAAAAATCAACGCCAAAAGCTTAGTCATTTGTCCTTCTATTTATCTCTGTGGCTGAGTGGTTATGATGATCGGTGCGACTTATCCCCGTCCCTAACGCTTTCCAGCAAGCATAGATCGCCCCTATGGAGAGCCTCAGTCAAGTTATCTCAGAGATTTCAAGTAGACTAATGCAACGTGTGTTCTGCGACGTGTATGCAAGGCAAAAATCGAAGTGATTGCCAAAAGCTCTAGGGTCACGGAATGAAAAAAATTGGTCACGAATCAAATACAGTGACGAATAGCTATAACAAAATGTCCAGTCTCTGATGAAAACGAAATAGAGAAAATGCCAGCCATCGTACTTGAGATGAAAGAGTACAGTTTGCGCGTTATGTCGGGAAAAATAGAGCTTTTGGAATACACTCATAGCAGGTTTTCCGATGATCTATGCTACATCTTCGTTCTACAACGTCAGCACAATGGTGATCAGTGGGAAGAAAGTGCGTTCCAGCTCTGATCTACCGGTATAGTCCCTTCAAGTTACGGCCGGCGGGGTACTCCATTGTTCAAACTTTGCTGATCATTCTGTTTCTTTTTCGTCCAATAATTGGCTGATTTTTTCTTATAGAAATTAGATTATTTCGATATCTATTCGCGTGTTTTGATAGATCAAATCGTTCGGAGAAAATCCAATGGATTGTCGCGCTTTTAATAATTCTAGGGAAAGTGAGGTGTCTACGCTAGTGTTTATTCTTAGTTTCGTCTTTGTCGGTGATCCCGGACGCAATTACTATAAGTTTCTGATCGCAGTAGGTGATTCTGTTGCTTTTGACTGCCAGCCTCTCGAAGGCAAAAGACGACTGACACAGTTGAGACACGATCATCGCGTTTGATTTCACAGCTATTTGTAATATCACCTGTATCACCTGTCGCCCCGTTGATCGTCGAATGACTCGAGCGGGTACCAGCAACACTTCCATGCTTCCCTATCGCGTCAAGAGTAGCAAAATGTATCCTCCTAGCTCTAGAAATTCGCTGAGCATCATATCTTTCTTCTATAGTTTTCGTGAAGAAGTCTGACCGACGGATCGGTAGCTTTCCTGTAGAGCGCTTAATGTCCCGAGGAATCCAATCGGTAACGGCTCTCGTCCATCACTTGTCGTTGAAGCGCATCACGTGTCCAGCCCACCTTATTTTCAATATCCGGCGTGTAAACGGCGTCTCTGATTTCTGATCGTTGACGTAGGTTGGAACTTTGGATCCTTTCTCTCATTTGCGAGAAACGGGATACTCCTAGCATCGACCTTTCGATTGTGCGTTCAATAACGCCAAGTGATCTTTCATCCTGCTTGCGTAGGGACCAGGTTTCTGCTGCATACGTTAGGGCAGGGATAATCGTTGAGTTGAAAGGGTGGGCACGGAGTCGAATGTTCTTTGTTTTCTTCACTACATCTTCGATGCTCTTAAACGTTCCCCACGCCGCTCGTTTCCTCTTGCTCAACTCTGGAGCCAGGTCGTTCATCATGTTGATTTCATGACCTAGATAAACGTAACTGAAGAGTTCGGAGATTTTCGTTCCGTTGAGCATGCATGGAGCATTCGAAACCCATCCGTTCTTATGAACATCGTTTTCGTTAGATTTAGTTGAAGACTAATCTTTCCACAGGCGTTATCGAGATCGGTCAACATTCTTTCCGCTTGGCTGATGTTTGGTGTTATGAGGCCGATATCGTCAGCAAAGCGAAGATGTTTTAATTGTCGATCGTCAGTTTTCACTCCCATATCGTCCCATTCCAGTGTTCGCAAGACGATTTGTAGGGTGGCAGTGAATAGTTTTGGCGCTGATGAGTCTGTAAGGACGAAACACTTGTCTCGGGCTGTACAAGAGCCCTTACCAGACCACATGACATGTTGGCTCAAATAATGATGAAGGGATATATTGAAATTTGAGCGTGGTCTAAACAAAGCACTCGAGATGAAGAAATTGTTTTGCCTTGTCGAGCCCCTTTTCTTACATCAATGGTGATATCGTTGTAGAATGGAGTTATTTTGATCGTGAAATCTCTATAAAGGTCACGAAGAATCATTATATACCGAGTAGGGACACCATGGTTATCTAGAGCCTCTATAACAGCCTCTGTTTCCACTGAATCAAAAACTTTCTTCAGATAGACGAAAGTGAGACAGAGTGGTTGTTTGTACTCTCGTGGAACTTCATTGAGTCTTGTAATCGTGTGGATGTAGTCCATTGTACTAAATCCTTTTCGGACCCTGCTTGTGCTCTTGGCTGTCCTTCGTTCAGTGTTCTGTCAGTCCTGTTTAGGTTGACTCGACTAAGGAGTTTATAGACAGCGAACAGCAAGCGGATTGGACGATATTTGCCTATGTCGTCAAGGTCTCCCTTTTTGAAAAACAATACGGTCTTGCTGGTTTTCCATTGAATAGGGACCTTGCAATCTGACAGGTAATGAGTGAAGAGCCAAGCCAGGGTGTTGATGAGAATCGGCGGCAGGTTATTCAGGTGTTCTGGTCTGATCCTGTCTGGACCGGGTGTTGTTCTTTTCTTCACCGACGATATAACATGTCGGCTTTCGGAAGGGAGGACCGCTGGAACGACATGTTCATCCTCTTTCAATTTATATGACGGTAGGAGGACATGGCTAGCGAAGAGATCCGATTAGTATTGGTGGATTATTTTCTCCATAGCCTTTCTCGAAGCTGTAAGTGTCCCGTCAGGGAATCGGAGTGCAATCGTCTTGGTCTTGTAGTTGGCGAAGCCTCGCTGGGCTTTGCGAATGCTCTTCCTAGCTTCTGCAGCTTCTGCCATAACTGCTGCTCGTCACTCTTTCTCTCGGTTAACTTTATTACTTGAAAAAACAGCTAATCGCGCATCAACATCGCGTTATTGTTTTTTGCGAGTCACAACACTATGAAACGAAAATTCGGTTTCTTGTGCAAAATTTTGAGAACTTCGTAAATGGCATTAACGATCAATTAACTGTGCTTTGTTTTTAACAGCTCGAAGGATCATCACAACTACCAGTACAGGAACTGTGAAAGATATTTTGTTCATTTGGGCATGACAGTATTGTGCTATTGTAGATGGCTCAATAACGCAGAAAGCGTAAGTTTAGCTATCCTTTTTCAACAAGTCTAGTGTTTCCAAATGTACTTTATTTTAGAATTGCGCCGTTATCAGGAAGACTGTCTTTCATCAGTTGCTTGGAAGAAAGCTGAATTTTTGAATTACGTGGAACAAAACGCAAAAGCTGTGATCGTCATGTACGAGGCCAACGGAAAGAGGTCTTTATCGGGAACGGTACTTGCGAGAGGTCGGTAAAGGGGTGGAAAGTGAAAAAACCAACATGAATCGTATACAACATGGTTATTTGATAACACGCGCCCCGGATTTTGCATATCACTCAACATAATCGGATATGTACAACCACGGTTTTTTTCTTTTGAGGCTTTCTTCTGACATATTTGTTGACCAAAAATCATGGGGACCATTCGGTGTTCCGCTGTTTTCCAGGTTGATGACGTAAGGATGTTGTTTTTCTGTAATAAAAAATGCCATTTCAACTTTTGAGAATCTCTAAGCATACGTTTCGTTGAGGTTAGATGTTTTAGAATGTAGAACGGCCACGACAAGATGTCTGTGTACAAAGACGGATTGCCACTGGCACCACTTGTACGCAGGAACAGGGAAGGACAATGAGTGCTAAGTTATGTGTAATTGTCTTAATCTCTGATGTTTTTCCACTATATTAGAAGAAAGCGCTGCTTCCACAGTGCTTTGAACTGCCAAATATGGTAAATGAGCAATCTTCCCCGACTCTCCTGTGGTCCTGGCAGCGGCTTCCGCTAAAACTTCAAGCCTCAGACAGATATCTTGGATAAGAGTGGCAATGTCAGAGCATGGCATTTTTAAAGAAAATGTGGTTTAGAAAACTGTTGTCGCGTGGAGATGGTTTAGTTGAAGTTTTCGCTGAACTGATTGTTCGATATAACTCCGTTATCTCCAATTTTTTTCAACCCTACAAGACCGACGCCTTTCTGTTTTTTTTCCAGGATTTTGGTGATCATTCGATAGCTTGGATTTTGGCAATCTTGATACCAACTTGATACGTGAAAAAGCATCCCACTCCTCTATAGCATCAAAGATAAAATTTAGTTCCTGACTCGCCAGTTTTTTCGGCTAAAGTGTGTAAATGGCAGTGTGGATGGAATTTCGCAGCACTTGCAACAAAAAGCACCTACCGACTAATGATTGTGAATGGTCTTCTAAACCCTTAAGGGGCGACGTGTACTTGTCGAGGTGCACTATTGTTTGGAGGACTTTCTCTCTGGACGAGACTCATCTCTTAGACCTTTGCTAACCATTCTAAAGCTCAAATCGCCATAATTCCAGCAACATGTTTGATATTTTAAAGGATCCTTTCCACTGCATTGTAGTAGTAGAGATAGAATTATGTTCCACACATAGTTTGCTTCATTTGATCGGCTGGGCTTGTATATGGCTCTTCTCCAAACTCTCACTAACCATTTGACATCGCAAAATATCGACGATTTAGTTGAAGTAAATGGTTTTTTGAAGATTATCATAGGACGTTGTGGAAATGGAAAGAAGATCATGTTTCGGATTGAAATTTTTGTTCTATGGAAAGATTATATATATATATATATGGAAAGCATATTACCATGTAGAGGAAAACAGGAGTATCC